CCTGGAGAAGCACTCGTGTAGAACCAACGGTACACTCTTCAGTCAGTCATTGCACAGATATTTCCTAAGTACCGGCTCTGTCGGGGAAAGCCAGCTTTTATGGCGCTCACAAGCAGGACTGAGATTACCTGGAGGGGGTTGGTCGCCAGCCCTTTCCTCTTCTTTTCATGGTGAGGCTATAGTAGGGCAGTGCCCAAGCCTGAACTGCCATCCCTATGCTGGTGATGCTCCATCTGGCATCTCCCATCTCAGCCTCTCTGCAGCCCAGGCCTTTCATACTGAATGCCTGTTGGACCTTTTTGCTTATACACCCTGCAGGCATGTTTAACTGACCCACACTTTGTCTCCTTCCTTGCCTCCCAAATTCTGTGCCTTCCTTCTTCACCTATTTCAATGACAACAGCCACACCCACCTGGGACCCCCACATCTAATTTGATTCCATCTCTATGTCCTATTGTTTGAATGATTCTCATAGGGCTGCCTATTTGGCATTCATCTTTCTGGCCCAGGCTACTTCAAGAGCCTCCTAATTTATCACTGAGGGATTAGTGCAACAATTGCACCCTGGCTTTGCTAGATAATGTTTAATCTTCCATTTGATGAATATCTGTTGAATGCTTTGAGGTATCTAACCTCCTCACTCCTCTGGCATTCTCCATCCCTCTTCCACATAGTATATTTTCAAAAAATAATGAATATTAATTTAATGTTAATATTTCCTGAGTTGTGAGGATTAAAGGAGATAATATATAAGGGGAGGGAGATCCATTAAGCACCTCAAAAGCAGTCATGTTTATTTTTAGCATTGTCACATTTTAGACTTCGAATTCTTTTAGCTGCAAGTGACAGAACCCATTCAAACTGTTTTAAGTATAAAGGAGTTTATGTGGTTAATGCAAGAAAGCCAATGGGTACATCTTGCCAGTGGAAATATGGCTGGATCTACGAAAGTTATTATGATCTTTCATTTCTGGCTTTGGCTTCATTTTCAGACAAGTCTTTTCCATATGATAGCCCCTTAGATGCTACTGCCAACTTAGTCCTAGCAAGAAAGAAAGAGTGCTTTTTGTTTAATATTTGCAACAAAAGTCTCAGGACAATCTGAGGTGCTAGCCCCTGTCTGGGCATGGAGAATGAACCACTCTCCTGACTGAACTTGGATTCAGGTGTCTTCCTCTGAAAAGGGGTTTGTTAGCCCCACATTGTCTAGGCTAGGGACATTCTCCAAAGAAAAATTACAGAAGGGATGCTGGCAGGCAAAAACAACGTATGTCTATTTTAGTCTCTCTCAGAGGGTTGGCTGCAATATATTTCACCCCAAAACAATGGTGATGAAGATGGATACAGTAGCCAGAACAATAGATAACGTTTGTCTTGGTCCTTTTGGATCTTTAAGACCTCAGCTAAACATGAAATTAGATGCTATCAACCATGATGTTACTGAAGGTTTAGCTTTGAAGCGTGGATGCACTTTGAATGGTAGAGCCACATAAGTATAAATAATTGTCACATTCTATTCCAAAATATTCTTTTGACAACATTATATTGGGATTGGCTTTTTCTATTCATCTTTTAGGTTCCTAAAAAGGTGAAAATTTCATTTCTTTGTGGATAAGCACCTAAAATTCTTTATCGTTTATCAATTAATAAAAAGAAATGGAAATTTTAGAAGGTCTAAAAAATAAAAAAGATCGAGTTAGGTCATATTTGAAATTTAAGACTTTAATCTGCTAAGGTTTTTCAGGTGCTGAACTATTGGTAAAATATTATAAAACCATCGATCTGAAGCATTTAATGTATCATAGAGATTTAGGCAACTTAAAAGATTGCAGATGATGAATGTGCTGTTATGTCCTTTACCTGCTGCTCTAAATTCAGCCTTCTGTTTTGGTGAAGTAAAAGGTTTATTGCCTTTCACTGTATTCTGAATTTCCCACCACAGTGCATTTTGAGAAGTGAATATTAACAGCTGTCTTGATCCCCCATTGCCCCACATCCTGGGGAAAATACAATCTATTGTTGGAATAAGAGAGCATGTTCAGGAAAAGGGGAATATTTTGTCACAGGATGTGCAATGAACTCATCCTTTTATTAAGTCAAAATGGATTCTCTAGTGTTTATATACATCAAACAGTGTTTCTTCTCTTGGTCATGGTTCAAAGGCCCCAACATACAATTCCTTAGTATTTAGTCAATTTGCCTATAAAGAAGAAGAGAATGGCTAGTTTGTTCTAAAGTCTTAAATTTAGTATTTCAAGGGTCAAGGTCATTTCAAATTAAGCTTGGATCAATACTATAAAATATGAAAATGATCCTAAGTTGTACAAAGTATGAAATATTTTAAATTTCACCAAAATCTGTCTTCCTGGGTATGTCTTTTTTTTTTTTACACCTACTCAGATTCATTCTAAATGCAGTATTTTTGCTATTTAGGTTTTAAAAGTTACATTACAAAATAAACTTTGTAATTGGACACTTTTATTAAATGCAGGAAAATGCAGGATTGCTTTTTAATGAAGGCCAGATTTGTGGTAACATTTAATTCTTTCCCCCAAAAAATCTTGGATCATAAAAAAAAAAAAGTATATTCAAAATATCTTGAGCTCTTATGTTAATACCAGATTATGCATTTTCTAGCCTTGTTCAGAAGGAGAGACTATGTGTCTTCTAAATTGAGAGATATTGGCACCATTTTTAAAATTATACCTTGAATCTGCTGTGGTATGTGCTGGTAGTAATTTTATGTGAAGCTATTGTTCAAGCACATGCCATTAAGGTC